AAAGAGTGGACTGTACTGAATCTTAAAGATGTTACTTCACTTCTTTGTCAGAAACCTCTGATGTTGCTCTTTCTTTTTGCTTTAGCCTATAGCATATAACTGAATAACTTGGAAGTCTCATTTCTTGTTTGAAACTTTTAAACATTCAACTGTTCAGAAGCCTTTCAAAATAAAGTTCCTTCAGAAATGAGGGAATTAGGATTTTTTTCTGGACCTGCACTTCAGCATAAAACTAAACTTGTTGCATTGTGTTCTAACAAGGAGTTGAATGGTGTATAACATTGACTGCTTTCTCTTAGGTTATACTGGAAGATGTTTCAATGCTACAGATAAAACCTGACCAATTCACCTACACCTCCGATCACTTTGAAATTATAATGCAATATGCTGAGAAAATGATTAGAGATGGGAAGGCTTATGCAGATAACACACCTCCAGATCAAATGAAACAAGAACGTGAGCAAAGGATTGAGTCTAAACACAGGGCAAATTGTGAGTATCATTGAAAATTCTGCTCAGCAATATTTTGAATTGCCTTTATTCACTATTTATAATTCTCTTTCCAACTCTCCTTTTAAATGAAAATGATTCATGCTTGGGTATGATTTCACATGTTGCCTTGAGACAAGATGCTCTGTGTTCCTGAGCTGCTTGACTGCACTGGCTATCATATTTAATTTCATATCAGCCCACGTTTGATTTCTTTCTGCAGTTTCTGACAAACAATGCTGAACACTATTCATGAATAGGAATTGTGACCGTCCGCTGCCAAACCCGATGGCTTTGGAACTTAGTGCTATGACTGTCTAATGAAACATAGGGCTCAGATAACAGCTGGAAGTTTTAAAATTTGCATAGCTCAAAGCCACACTAATAGTTGCTTGTTTAAAGACTTTATTCTGAATGATCATTTATTTTTAAAAATGGCACAAGTAAACAATAAATAGATTTCAGTAAATAGATTCTTGGGAGAAGCGTAAGAATGTTCTGAGTGTGAATAAATGTAAAGCGACATGCTTGAGTGTTGGAATAGCTGAAACCCAGTCATCATCAACTCACTATTCTACCTTATCATGTACAAGTGTTCTTACATGGTATTAAATTTAAAAGCTTATAGATTTCATATGTAAAGGTGACAATAATGGAGGAAAGATTCCTTTTGTATTTATATAGTTGTGTGTTCTTTTAGAATATAAATGTGATGTTTGACATTGCACATAATTTGTTTCTTGCAGCTGTGCAGCAGAACATGAAAATATGGGAAGAGATGAAGTCTGGAACTGAGTATGGGCAAACCTGCTGTTTACGAGCAAAGATTGACATGACTTCCAATAATGGTTGCCTCAGGGACCCCACGATCTATCGATGCAAGAACACGCCACATCCTCGCACAGGGCTCAAATACAAGTGAAGTATATCAGTCAAATTTAGGTTCTGCAAATATCATGCTTGGATTTTTACTGTCATTTTTAAACCTTTTTTAAAAAAAAAAGTCAGATCCTTGTCATGAGACCTCAGTACTGCTGTGGTGTCAGGAAGCACATGCAAGTGTGTTCAGACTAGCACTGACATAGAGCTACAGAGAGGAATATTTATATCCAGTCCGCCTCCGCCGCCTCCTTTACTCATTCCAGCTCCCCACTTACCTGTCTACAGTTGTAGAAATACTGTTAACTGCATATTAAGATTATTGTGTCAAAGGGTGAAATTGATAATGTAGAGTCTATAAATGGCCAGTTGTTTTTGATTTAACCTCTTCAGTTGTCCAATAAGTACCGATCAGCAGATAATTAGCTGAGATTTAATAATTATGGAAGTAGATATCAAGGAAATATTTAAGGTGTCGCAGCTAATTCAGGCAAACACAGTTAAATACAAAATGTGGACAGTGCTGTCAAGCGATGCACTGTTTCTCCCCAAGCTGCTCACAAACCTCATTTCTTAGTGGGGCTCCCCATTAAAATGTATTGGATGGCATAATAATCTTCAGCATGATTTATACAGGCAAAGTTAGAGCTTATCCATTCTGTTTTAAAAGAATTCGTACAGATAGTATGAATTATTAACAAGTACTGTTTCCAGCACTGATTAGTTTTCACAAATGTGGAATCTCATTCCTTCAGATTTTAATATTTATGTTCTGTCTGTCTCTTTGTTCTTTATCCTCAAACTTTCTCTTTCCTCTTTGCTTTCTGTACCTAATTTGAGAATAGAGTGAGAAGGTGGTGGTGGGACAGTGATGCTCTAAGGGTCAAGGTGATCCGAGATAGTGTGATTGGGAATAAAGCTGTGAAGGGATTTGAAAGTGAGGATGAGAATGTTGAAATGGAGATGTTTATTAACGGGGATTCAGTGTAGACCAGGAAATGTTGAATGATCTCGGGCACCTTGTGCATGTAATCTGAGGAATATCCTTGATGTTGTGCTGATCTGAAATGAAATTATGTCATTTCGTTTCTTAGGAAGCTAATTGATATGTTAGATGTTTTTCTCTTCGTTGTGTTAGTTTGAGACTGGTCATTAGTTCCTTCACTATTTACATTTGTTGTTTGGGTGAAATTTTTGCCTTGCTTCTTATTCAGATTTGCACGTTAGATGGTAAAGATTGTTCTATAACTTTTCAATCATGTTAATTTGGGTTACTGGGGAAACTGCGGTCACTCAGGAATTTTTGATTTGAAGTAAGGATTGATATCTCTTCATTTGTTAAGATTGGAGGCTAGTTGTCACAGCAGAGCTGCAGTTTTGATTTCAAGTTCAGAAAGATAAGCTGAAGTATATTATCTCTTGTCCTGTAGAAGGAAGATTTGGTTGGATTAATGTCTGGGAAGATGACTGAATTGAGTTCAATACATATCAATATATAACTTGCAGTTGTCTATAAAATGAGGCCCATTTTCTCCATCCCTCCCTCTGTTTTTGTCTGTCACACTTTTTCTTTTGCTATACGTGGCCTGTGCGTGTCTGTCCCTCTGCTGCTGCTTCTCCTTATAGCAGGCCTGTCCACAGCTGGTAGAGATTTTTAACAATAAAGGAGTGATAAGAGAGAAATTGTGTGAAATAAAACAAAACAAATATTTTGCTGAGTCAGTTAAATTCGCATATTGCTTGGTTGTACTGTCTTCTGATGTGGCTGCACTGAGCCTACTACAAAGTTGTAGGTAACATGATTTGAGGGGTTATCCAGACCCTGGAGGCAGTGAATTGGTGTTTAGGAAAAGGAAACTATGTATAGGGGAGTCATGTGAGATGCAGTTTAACATGCTAGCATTCAGCATCTTCAAAAGATATCTTTGTGGTAAATAGATTATTTAATCACGTGATGCAGCGCTTGCAGATAAACCAGGGCAGGAGGATAGACATCATGAAATGCTTAAGCAAAAACTGATTTAATAGTCAAAATGCATTGTCATGCAGATGCGTTAAAGAAAAGCATGGCTGTTTGTGCTAACAAAATAATAGTATTATTTATATCCTGTAAGGATAAGTTCTGAAAGGCTTTTGCTAAAAACAATCTTGTCATAATTCCTATAATATACTAAAGATTTAATTAATAAATTGAGTGGTAGTAAAATAATTTTCAATTCTTCCTCTTGCTCCAGAATTTATCCAACGTATGACTTTGCATGCCCTATAGTGGACAGCGTTGAAGGTGTCACACATGCACTTAGAACAACAGAATACCATGACCGGGATGAACAGTATTACTGGATTATTGATGCTCTGGAAATTCGAAAACCTTACATATGGGAGTACAGCCGCCTTAATCTAAATAACACTGTACTATCAAAGAGGAAACTAACGTGGTTTGTTAATGAAGGACTTGTGGATGGATGGTAATTTTGCAGCAAAACTGTGAAGCTGATTGTTTTTTCAGTATTGAACATTTACAATTTAAACAAAAAATCTGATTCTGTTACAGAATATCTTACTGTCACAGACTATGAATTGTTTTGTCCACAATTTTTTGTTTAGGGATGATCCTCGCTTCCCAACGGTGCGTGGAGTCCTGCGGAGAGGCATGACTGTTGAGGGATTGAAACAGTTTATTGCTGCTCAAGTGAGTTGAGTGTGAACTTGATGGTTCTCACCATAGGTCTATATATTATTTGTCACGGTTTTCATGATCTTTCTTTGCTCCCCTTTGCCCCCTGAAACCCCCTAATTTTCTTTCGAATCGTACACTATACTTCGCAGCTTGTTTTGTAAAATTGTTGGCAAAAGTATAATGCCTTTTGTGGTCTGCTGCGTTTAAGGTTGTATATATTTTGATTGTAGGGTGGCTCAAGGTCCGTTGTGAACATGGAGTGGGACAAACTCTGGGCTTTTAACAAAAAGGTAAATATGAGTTCATATAATCGTCTTTTGCACCTTGTTCATATCTGTCACTGATATTGCAATATTTTTAAGTTTGAATATATACAAATTACAGCTGAGGAAAATGGAATGTTCTTGTGTCTGGTTACATGGTGACAAATGTATTGTTTTCTGATGCTTTAAATTGTATGGGAAATCCAATTTTGGATGAAACGTTTATCATGGTTGGAATAACATTATGAAAAATACTTAATATTCTTTAACCCAAAATTGTGCAAATTTATTGAATTAAACACAAATTATGCATTACATTTTCTGCTTTTTTCAAGCTGCAAGCTAACTGTAACAAGGTATTACTTAATAATTTTCTGCTTTGACTAGAGTACCTCACAGCTTGAACGGCATGGCAATAATGCATTAGATTCAAGATGTGTGCAAAGCCAGTCTCCTTTTTAACTACTGTTGTGACTGTGGTTTAGCTGGTCGGGTTTTCTGCACATATTGACAGCAAAATGACTATATAGCGTTTTGAATATTTGCTTAGGTAAATTATTGCTCTGTATATTTGGAGCAACCTTTTTAAAGCAGTTTTAAGAATGATTGATTTTTAATTCTACTCCAAACGTAGAAACTTTTTAATTTTTTTTTGCTCCATAGCAAATCTGAATGCGAGTTTATTAGTTGTTAAGCGGACCAACTTTTTGTGCTCCTGTGAATAGATGAGATTTCACATTTGAGTGACTTAAAAGAAACTGATTTTTTATTTTTAAATATAGTAATTGTTATTCTGGTTTGTATTCTTTTTTTAAAGTAATACTATATTGTTTTAATATGTTCTATTCAAAATGCTGTACCATGTGTAATCTAGTATAGATTTTATAACCACAGAATCAGCACTCTATGATGTCCAATGTACAGCACTAAAATACTTTGATGTCCTTTTCTGACAAGAAAAGGAGCACAGTGGAGTATACAAGCTAACTTTGTAAAATTGGCAGCACACAGTAATGAGACTGAGAGATTTAAAGAACGGAGTGCAGAAATACCATTCTAGGACTTTGGCTTCCCAGCTGGAGTCTTAATCTAAACCATTTGAATCTGGCATCTTGTGTTAACTTCTTGCTAACCTTTCCATTTGCTTGTAGTTCTATGCTGCACTTTTCAGCTTTCTCACATCTGTCTTTTCTTATATTAATTTTTAAACACTTTTTGCCTCTCACAAAGGATTGTTTGCGTTGTTGCAGTTAACTGCAAATCAGGATGCGTACAAATTTTAATTGGTCTTTATTTAAAATTAAATTAAACCGTTATAATCCATTTAACCTCTGTGCAGATTTCTGGAAAATAATACCATTTTAAATGAGCTAACAGACCACTTTTCAGAAAATATATCCCAGTTTTCAATGTTTTCTGTTTAACTATGCCGTAATTTAGTTGCAGCAAGCTAAACAATTCTGTGTGCCTTTGTTTGGATATTGCATGCAGGTGAATATGGAGCATCAAGTTATATTATATAGACAAAATGATCCATACATATTTACTTCAGGTTATTGATCCAGTGGCACCTCGGTATACAGCATTATTAAAGGATGCAGTAGTGCCTGTGAATGTGCCAGAGGCCAAGGAAGAGATGAAAGATGTGGCCAAGCATCCTAAGGTAATAAGGTTTGTAAATGGAGAGTGGGGAGTGAAGTACAGAATCTACTTATTTTAACTTTTTTGAAAAATAAACTGAAGAAAAGGAAGTGGAGGATAAAAATCTGATTTTCCTTGTGAGCACACACATGCACATACATACACAGCTCTTTCTTTGTGTCTCTCTCACTCCATTCTCAATTTGATTAATTGCTGCTTAGATGGAATTTTGATACGTTGGAGGCTTTGAAATAGAAAATTCATTTTCAAATTTCTCAGTCAAATGGATCAAGAAATGTAGGAAGGGGAAGACCATGCCTCCTATTGAAATCTGGTTGGTTATTCCACTAGATCATGGCTGATCATCCATGTAAATGCCACTTTCCTGCAGTATCTCCATATCCCTTGATGTTAGTCTATAGAAATCTTATTCATTTCTTGAACATGCTCAATGATTGAGCTTCCACAACCCTTTGGTGTGGAGAATTCCAAACATTCACCACACTGAGTAAAGAAATCTCTCCTCAATAGGACACCTGGAAAGTCACAAAGCAGTCTGTTGGAGTGTGCAAGGTTTCATGAAGAGTCAATCATGTTTGACTAATTTGTAGAATTCTTCAAAGATATAACAAGCAAAATGGACCATGGGAGTCCTGTGGATGTAGTATACAAGGTGCCACACAAAAGATTAATACACAAGGTAAAATGGCAGTGTTATGGATAATATATTGGCTCGCATAGGGGATTAGTTGACCAACAGAAAGCAAACTCTTAGGATAAGAGTTTTTTTGGATAGGCAACCTGTAACTTGTAGGCTGCCAAAGGGTTCGGTCTTTGGGCCCAAACTATTTACAATTTCTTTTAATTACTTGATTTGCAGGCATAGCTAAACTTGCGGTTGAAATGAAAATAAGCTGCAATTAAGAAATAAGAAATTTTCAAATGGATATGCATGGGTTGGATGAATGATCGGAAGTTGTTGATTGTATTTAATGTGGATAAGTGTGAGGTCACTGTGGTTTGAAGAAGGAAAAGGCAACGTCTTATCTAAATGGAGAGAAACTTCAGAGTGCTTCATTGCAGAGGGAACTGGGTGTCCTTGTGCATCAATAAGGAGGGCAAATGGAATTTTAAGTCTTATTGCTAAAGAAAGAGAGTATAAAAGAAGGGAAGTGTTGTTGCATCTGTACAAGGCATGGAGTACTGCATATAGTTTTGGTCCCCTTACTTGAAGGAGGAAACTGCAGTAATTCAGAGAAGGTTCACTAGATAAATTCCAGAGATGACAGGTATGTGTTATGAGATTGAGCAGTTAAGGCCTATACTCGCTAGAGTTTAGAAGAATAAAATATTTAATTGAAGTATATAAGATGCTAAAGGGGATTGACAAAGTAGATGTAGAGTGAATGCCCCACAAAGGAAGATAATCTAGAACAAGAGGTGGTCATTTTAGGCTAAGGGTTGGCAGATTTACAACTGAGGTAAGGAGGAATTAATTCTCTTAAATGGTCTTGAATCTATGGAAATTTGTATTGGCTTTATTGCCACATGTACTCAAATGAGTACAGGGAAAAGTTTATAAGTAACCACTTACAGTGCCATCTTAGGTACAAAGATACAGCTTCTGGAATTCACTCCTCCAGGGTATAGTGGATGCTGGGACACTGAATAAATTTGAGGATATAGATGAACAGATTTTGAATTAGTAATGAATTAAATGGTTATGGGGAGAGAGCAGGAAAAGTAGAGTTGAGGCAGAGATGAGATCAGCCATGATTGTATTAAATGGCAGGCAAGAGTCAAGGGACTGAATTACCTGCTCTTGTTCCTAGTTCTTGTGTTCATACCAGTCGTAGGTGGCCTAGGCCTTATCCTGAAATAGTGTCCTTTTATTTGAGACTCAGTAGTCAGGGAAACATCCTATATGCATCCACCCTGTCATGCCCTTTAAGAATTTTGTAAGTTTCAATGAGGTTAATCCTCATTCCTCGAAACACAAAGGAATAAAGATGGTCTCCTCAATCTGTTTTCATAAAACAATCCTGTTGTCTGAGCAGTTACTTTAGAAAACCTCTGTGCATGCCCTTTGTAGCAAGTATATCTCTCCTTAACTAAGAGGACCAAAACTATGCATGGTATGCCAGGTGTGGTCTCAAAAAGGCTCTATACAGCAACAGCATTTTGTACTCCAGTCCTTTTGTGATGAAGGCTAACATACCACACGCCTGTCTAATTGTTGTTTGCACCTACATATTAGCTTTTAGGGATTCTTCAACAAGGACAACTTGGGCCACCCCATTTCCCATCCTCTCATCGTAAGCACTTCTATCTCTTTGGACTCTAGATGTGTGTTGAGAAAATCCAAGGCTTAGTATTAGCATTGAAACATGCTAAGTTTGAACTGGTATTTTAGTTTACCTTTGCTGAAATCCACAATGAATGTGTAGTTTTAGATTGTTTTGTAGTGCAGGTTGAATCTGTGAAATCCATACTGATTAGTAAACAAGGTTTTGTGAATGTATAGTACTTACAAACCATGACGTAAATGCAAGTGTAATACAGCTGTATTTATTTTCCTTCTACTTATTAGTGTTTCTCCTTCCCTTTCAACCAAACCCCTTTTTGTTTTTGTTGCCAGAATCTGGCTATAGGGCTGAAGCCTGTGTGGTATGGACCGAAAGTACTAATTGAAGGAGCAGATGCAGAAACTTTCACAGAAGGAGAAATGGTGACATTTATTAATTGGGGTAACATCAACATCACTAAAATTAACAGGTGAGAAAATATTTTTGTAGTAGAAGATTTCTGGCTGTTATTCTTTGAAAGCCAAACAATGTGACAGATGTGAAGTTGATTAATAATTTATTGCTTTTTCTTGGAAATTTTGGGTTCTGAAGTGGAGAGATTCATATATAGCTTTAAGATTGATTTGTATTTCCATTATGTGTACTAAGAAGGGGATTTTTAGTTCCATTTTTTTGATTTCTGAAAGATGTGACAGGTCTGGAATTACATGTACGTAAAAGGCTTTTAAGAAAAATCATTGAGGCAAACATTTCAATGCTCTATACTACAATGTTTTATAGAGAAAACCAAAGGCGCTGTTGCCTATCTGCAAATTGTCCTATGACACGGGATGATCAAGACAGAAAAGTTATTTTAGAAAGACAGCGCTATTCAGAGGGTCAGAGAGAGTGTGCACGTTTCTCTTCGAGAAGCAGGCCATTCAGGGAAACAAAAGGCCCATGCAGTAGAGTTTTTAGCAAACTCAAAAACTGTGCAGAAAACAAGACCTGAGTGGCTTAAACGTCAAAGAGAAACTCCAGAAAAAAGAAGCTTTTAAGATTTCAATGGAGGTAGAAGATAGCAGTTTGGTTGATTTTTGCTTCAGCAAAGTAGCTGATTAGCTAGTATTTCTAGGCTTTTTAAAATGAAAGTAACACACAGTTTTCAGTTTGTTTTGAATCTCCGGTCTTTTTTCTTTAAAAATCATGTGTTAGGTGTAAAATTGATAATAGTGCCTTAAAAGGGAAATAATACAGTAAATTGTATAGAGCAGGGATATTAGCAATTTTAATGAATAACTCAATATTGCAGAGGTGATGGTTGGATGATGTGTTGCAGTTGCAGCTTGTGGGAGCTGCTGGACATCAAGGTGACCCACAGTGGACAAATCTGTGGCAACTGTTTGCAGCTCAAACAACTTCATTTCAGAGTTGAGGATCTGGAGCTTGAACTGCTGACGTTGTGTCCAAGTCAGGAAGGGGGAAACTTACCTGGACACTTTGCTGCAACAAGCAGTCCCACCCTTTAAAATTAGTTAAATCAGATTTGGTCTATGATAGAGGACAGAAGGGTGTGATTGTAGGTAAGGCAGGTATAGGGTCTCGAGGAGCTTCAATCCTCGTAACTGTCTAACAGCAACCAGGTTCTTGCAACTTGAGTGGATGAGAGTGGGGACTATACAGGTAATGAGCAACTTGCCCACAACATCATAGTACAGGGAGCCATTCAAATGGGGATAGAAAATAGGAATAAAGTAGTTGTAGGGGACAGTATAATTAAGGGGATAGATATTGGTCTATTACAACTGTCATTGTAAGTTCTGAAAGCTGTGGTGCTTCCCTGGTGTCAGGGCTATCTCCTTGAAGCTGGAGAGGAACTTGGAGTGAGAAGGGAGGGATTCAGTTATTGTTATCCATGTTGGTATTAACAATGTTGATCAGATTGGAAAACAGGTTCTGCTGAAAGATTTTTGACCAGTTAAGAGCTAAATTAAAACGCAGAGCCTCTAAGGTGATAATCTCAGAGTTACTACTTAGCCATGGGCAAATTGGCAGAGGGTAACTGGAGTAAAAGAGATAAATGCATGCCTTTAAAGACTGATGTGTGACGAATAGGTTTCGGTTCATGGGGCATTGGCACCTGTACTGGGGTAAAAGGTAAAGGCTCTGATCAGATGAGCTTCATGTGAACTGTATTTGGACTAGTATCCTGGCAAGTCAAATAATCTAGGGTTGTAGAGAGGACTTCAAACTAATAAGTGGGGAGGGGGTGTTCAGGAGAGGAAAAACATAGGCTTGCATAACAAAATGATATGATGTCACTGCAGGGCAACTATTTTGACAGTGATATCCAGAGTGGGACAGGAAGGGACAGAGTATACAAACATAATAAGACAGCAAACAAGGACTAAAGGGGAGCAAAATAAAAGAAAACAAAATTAATGGCGCTTTACCCAAATGCACTTAGTTTTTTTGAACAAAGTAAATGGATTAATGTCATAAATAGAGGTTAATGGGTATGATTGTATAGTGATTATAGTGACATGATTGCAAGGACATTAAAGTGGCAACTAAACATTCAGGAGTGAACTTATGAAAACAGGAAGAGGTTGTGGCTTGCCTTTGATGATTAGAGACAGCATCAAGAAATGATCTTGGATCAGAAAGTGTTGAATTTGTATGGGTAGAGGTAAGAAACATTAAGGAGAAGACAATATGTTGTAGATCCATGCAGGGATTGGGCTAATTTGAATCTGTTAAAGTGTAATGGGGCAAGTTTAATAAATGATCTGGAATTGAGAGATTACCTAAGGGGGAAGTGACCTTCGTATAGTAGATTTCATCACTCATGCTGAGTGAGAAATTTGAGTCAGGATTAACAGTGCTAACATTAAAGAAGGGCACTTACATGGAATGAGGACAGAGTTGGTTCAACTGGATTGAGAAAAGGGATGATTTAAAAAAAAAAAGTGGTTGAGCAGTGGTGTGTGTTGTTTTTTAAGAAAGAAGTTCATGTGTCTAAATACCAGTAGGTCCCTGCACCTGATGAGCTGCATCCTAGGATTTTAAAGAAAGTTGATAGAGTTGATTGATGCATTGGTAGTTAATCTTCCAAGAATCCTCTGGACAAGTCTTGGAGGATTGGTAAACTGACAACATAATCATTGAGGCGGGCACAACTTATTCCTCCCTTATTCAAAAACAAGTCACTATAGGCCATCTGTCATGAGCATCTCAACATCTGTCATTGGGCTAATATTAGATTCTATTATTAAGGATATAATAACAGAGCATTTAAAAACAAACAAAGAGTCCATATGACTTAATTAAGAGGGAATTGTCTGACAAATTTCTTAAAGCTTTTTGAGGAGCTAACGAGCAGAATAGATAAAGGGTAACATTTGGGTTTCCAAAAGGCATTCAATAAGTCACTGTGCATAAGGTGACTTAAGTTCAGAATCCATGGTGTTGGGGGGTAGTACACTAGCATAGATAGAAGATTGGCTTACTAAAGAAGAATAAGTTGGAATAAAGTGGCATCTTCAGAATGGCGGCCTGAACCAGTGAAGTGCCACATTGATCAGTTCTGGAGTTAAACCACATTATACAATGTATATTGATGACTTGGATGAGGGAAATGAATGTACTATAACCAAGTTTACAGATGACACCAAAAATAGGTAGGAAGGCAAGTAGGGAGGATGACACAATGAGTCTACACAGGGATGTAGACAGGTTAATTGAGTAGGCAAAAACTTAGTGCATAATGTGGGAAGATGTGAGCTAATGCACTTTGGCAGAATAGGAGATATGAATATTATTTAAATGGGTACAGAGTGCAGAAAGCTGAAACAGTGTGTGCTTTGGAATTCTAGTGCATGAATCACAAAAATCAAGCGTCCTAGTTCAGTGGGTAGTAGGGAGGGCAAATAGGATATTGGCCTGTATGTCCGGGAAATTGGCCTATAAAATAGGGAGGTCTTGCTAAAACTATGCAAGGTAGCAGTCAGACCACAACTGAAATACTATGAACAATTTGGTCCCTTATCTAAGAAAATATGTATTTGCATTAGAGGCAGTCCTCAGAAGGCCTACTGGGTTAGGAGGGATTTTCTTAGGAGGAGATGTTGAGTGGTTTGGGCATGTACTTTTTGTTTCTCCTTGTGAGAGAGCTTAGGACCAGAGGACCAAAATCTCTAAGTAAAAAAAGTGACCAGTCAAAACAGATGACGAATTTTTTTCCTGAGGGTGGTCAAGGCTATGTCGGTAAGTATATTCAAGGTCAGAAATCACATGACACCAGGTTATAGGACACCAGGCTTATTTGAAAACACAAGCTTTCGGAGTCTTACTCCTTCAGGTGTTAGACTTCGAAAGCTTGTGTTTTCAAATAAACCTGGTGGACTATAATCTGGTGTCGTGTGATTTCTGACCTTGTCCACCCCAGTCCAACACCGGCACCTCCACATCCAGTATATTCAAGGCTGATATAAACATGTATCTAATTATTAAGGGAATCCAGCCTTATGTGAATAAAGCAGGAAAGTGGATTTGAGGATTATTAGGTCAGTCATTATTACATTGAATGGTGGAATGGACTCGATAGGCTAAATGGCCTACTTCTGCACCTCTAATGACCAATAAACTTTTTTTGTTAAAAATACGTTAGCAGCCTCTTGTGAATATGTTCTGTGATTGATCAACACGACGGCCAAATGTCAAAAATAAAACTTGCGGTCTATCAAGCCAGGTTTTGCTCTAGGATTTGATTTGTCCAGTATTACTATCAGCTGAAATTTATTAAAATAAATTTTTATTTATAGAAATCCCAGAGGAAAGATTACATCGCTTGAGGCTAAATTAAATCTAGACAACAAGGATTATAAAAAGACAACAAAGATTACATGGTTAACTGAACATCCACAAGCTCCATTGGTTCCCACAGTATGTGTATACTATGAGCATCTAATCAGCAAAGCTGTGATTGGCAAGGATGAAGATTTCAAGGAATATGTTAATCGAAACAGCAAGGTATATTTGTTTGTAGTGAACGCTTAGTTATAGTTCTCTCAGTTTTTAAGGCAAGATGTTCGGTTAAAATTATATTAAATGTTTGTTAAAAACTTAAGACACCAGGAATTACAGAGCAATTGTCATGAAATCCAATTCCCTTAATCAAACCTACCTTTTAAATAAGAGTTTACAAGCATTTGATTATGTCTAAAATTACAAAAGTAAGATTATTACTGATTCATAACTTCTTCTGTGGATATTAGGATCTAGTTTACAAGATTTCAAGCCATATTTCAAACTGCCCACTGGCTACATTGGTACAGACTTAGTACATAAGGATAGGTGGTGGCTTAAGTGGTTTTTCCACTGGACTGAAAGAGAACAAAGAATAGTACATCGCAGGAGCAGGCCATTCGGCTTACCAAGTCTGTGCCAATATGTGATGCCTTTCTTAAGTAAAAAGCTTTTGCCTCTACACTGTCAGTATCCCCCTCTTCTCTGTCTATTCATGTATCTGTCAAGGTGCCTCTTTAAACTCAGACTAACAGGTCCAAATCCCTGTTTGGTGAAATGTGGAATTTTAACTGGGTTAATAAATCTTGAGTTAAAAGCTAGTCTAATGGTGAAACCACTGTCAATCGTCATATGAACTCTCATTGACTAATGGAAATCTGTTGTCTTCCTGTGGTCTGGCCCGCATGAGACAGTAATTCTTCTGTATCTAAACCAATACAATCTGGACAAAAGGACCTGTGAACTGGAAATGACAATGGTGCACACATGGCCGTGTAAACCTGCAAAGTCCTCCTCCCCCTAACATCTGGGACATTTGTCCTAAACTGGGATAGCTGTCCCACAACTTAATTGAGGAGCAATGTGATGTAGTCATTTTCCTTGAAAACAATGTCCTAGACACCAGTGTCACCACTAGAGGTGGTAGCACAGTGGTATGCAGTCGCGAAGGAGTTGCCCTGGGAGTCTTCTACAATGACTCTGACCCCCTAGAGATTTCATGTCATGAGGTCAAATGTGGGCAAGGAAACCTGATTACTGCCTACCTCAGCTGATGAATCAGTTCTCTTTGTTGTTGTACACCACTCGATGGATACACTTGTGTTTTGGAAATCTAAGTTAAACATTTGGGATTGTCTCTGTTTTAAAAGCTAATACTCATAATTGCGAGCAAGAGGAAGTCACCCAGAGTTCCTGAGAAACTCCACGGATAGTTTGGGGGAGAACTTGCCAGAATGACTGGAACAAAAGCAGTTGCTGGAAAAGCTCAGCAGGTCTGGCAGCATCCGTGAACGAGAAAGCAGTGTTAACATTTCGGGTCTGGTGACCCTTCCTTAGAACTTGCCAGAATGACTCTTGTTTTTCAGTCTATACTGGGAAGTCATTTGAGAGAGAAGTATATATCAAGTTCCGCAGTGTTGAGAAGTCTTTTGATGAAGTAACATGTGCCAAGCAGTGTACCTAAGAAAAGCTTATTTTAAGATAATTTTATTGCTGTAAAAAGTTATTATTAATCCTTGACTGGATTGTTAGATACAGTCAGTGGAAAAGTAGTGAAGATTTTGACATTTTAAAAAAAAATGAAGCTGCATCAGGGGTGGCATAGGACTGGAAGAAAACTTAGTTAGAAGTATAATAATAAACAAGAGTTATTTACTGTTCCAGAAGATGAATTGGAATTTTAATTACTTCAAGGCCATTGGATCTATGAAAAAATCACTCTTCCCTCATCCCTGGAAATAAGCTGGACTGGGTCTTGCTAGATGTACAATATCTGATGGTCTTAGAGTTGCAACGATGTTTGTCTGATGCACTGATTCTGATATAAACAGCTATTGATTCTGCTCAAGCAAGAAAGAGTATTTAGGTTATTTGTGCTATGTGTTTAAAAATCAAAGTATCTGTGTTATAACAAAACAGGTTTTGTTTTCTTTGTCTTCGTTTCTATTGTTTCACAAATATGCAATGTTGTTTTTAGGAAACCATCAGTTTCCTGTCAGGGATCTGACTTATCCGGTAATAACATTAACTGGGCATTACTCCGTAACAGTTGGGGCCACTAGATCATCAAAATTGAGTGACTTGCTTATTACTAGTTTTTTTTTCCCCTTAACTTCAAATCTTAAGTTTTTGTTGTTGTTTAACACTGGGAATAGCTTGCTTGGTTGGTTTAATTGGCAAGAAAATATTTTCTTTTTCAGCAAGAAGAACTAATGCTGGGTGATCCTTGCCTTAAAGAGCTTAAAAAAGGAGACATCATCCAACTACAAAGAAGAGGATTTTTTACCTGCGACCAGCCATATGAACCAGTTAGGTAAGCAATTCCCATCATCTACTTTTGAGAGAGGAGAATATGTTGACTGAAAGAATGACAAAAGCTTTCCAGTTTACGGATTTTCTGAACCTGGATGCATGATTGAGATGCACACTGGGACCTTGCAGAAGTTAGACTCGTTGATCTATGTGGCAGTTGCCCGGCAGGTTTACAGTTTTGATGGGCAATTCTCCCCACAATTACCATGCAAAAATGGCTCCCACTGTGAACTAGAGTCAGACTTCAGACAGGTCTTGTGTATGGAGTTGAATAATTATCGAAAAAATGTTGGGCAGAAAAATCCTCATCCACTTCTTTATCTCAGTCACTCTCACTAACCTCTGCCTAACTCTCACTAACCTAACTACCTCCCCATGACTACAACCCCTGCAGCCTTCTGAACCAACTCGCCTTACCCACTGGCTGCCCTGAACCCCTGCCACCCCTGACTCTGGAACCCCTGTCTCCACATCCCTGGTCACTCTATCCAGTATGAACGTGGGTGAATGGATATTTAAACTTTGCTCACAGCAGTATAAAAAGTGGTTGTGGCTTCTTTGCTGCTCTGATTTTTGCACTGAGGAAGTTCTTTTGATTGCTGTCTTGGAACATGAATTTCTTTTTTGATGGATCCAGCAAAGTGCACTGTTTTCTGATTGATCAGAGTCAGGTGGAGTTGTTCCATTGCTGATTGGAAGATTTGGCCTTATGTTTCATTAACCATGTAACTGATGTTAATTCAGGCTTAACACACGGTAAAAAATGTTTAATCAAATTTTTCCCATCAATGATAAAACCAAATAAGAGCAAAGTACTGCACAGTGGGGATCTGAAATTAAAACGGAACTGCTGGAGAAACTCTGCACAGGCAGTATCCGAGTAGAAAGAAAACAGGGTCATAGATTCATATAGCATGGAAACAGACCTTTTTTGATCCAATTTGTGCATATCAATCAGGTTTCCTAAACTGAACTAGTCCTATTTGCCTGCATTTGGCCCATATTCCTCTAGCCTTTCCTTTCTACAACCTGTCCAGATGTTTTTTAGATGTTGTAATTGTACTCTCTTCCACCACTTCCTCAGGCAGCTCATTCCATATAAGCATCACCCTCTGTGTGAAAGCGTTGCACCTCGCGTCCCTTTTAAATCTTTCCCCTCTTAACTAGAGGGCATAGGTTTAAGGTTTGAACTCCCCTACCCTAGGGAAAAGACCATGGCTATTCACCTTATCTATGCCCATCATGAACTTATAAATCTCTATAAGGTTACAACTCAGCCTCCAGTGCTCCAGAGAAAAAGGTTGCAGCCTATCCAGCCCTCCTTATGACTCAAACCTTCCAGTCTCAGTAACATCCTTATAAATCCTCTTTTGCACCCTTTCCAGTTTAATAGCCCTGCTGTAGGAAGGATGTTACCAGAATTGTATGCAATACTTCAAATGTGGCATTACCAATGCTTTGTACAGCTGTAAAATGATGTCCCAGCTCCTGCGTTCATTGGTCACAGCACTGAGCACAAGTGTACACACGCCATCCTCACTACCCTGTCTGCCTGTGACCAACTTTCAAGGAACTAGAGTCCAAAATGAAACCCCCTTCTTTCTTTAACTTTTATTTCTTTCTCTATGAATGCTGCCAGAGCTGTTGAGTTCCTCCAGCATCCTGTTTTCATTAATGATAAAATTAAACTTGTACGAACAGTAAGGGCTTGTTGCATTTTTTCTCGTTAAGTTCTCCATCTACCACATTTTTCATGTGAAAGCGATGAAGGTGTCTAGAATATGGCAGATTATTCAATTAAATATTGATCTACAGCATTGACAAACGTTGAGACATCTGTATGAAGCACTGTTTTGATTTCCATATTTGGGACCAGTTCAACGCAAGAATGTTATACAATGAGATTTCCATGTTCGAAGAAGCTGTATTTGTAGCTTTTTAAGCTAAGTCTTTGGCTCAAAATTTATTTAATACTAACCCTGTACCCTCCTGTCTTGATTTAGTCCATATAGTTGCAAAGAGTCACCTTGTGTTTTGATCTACATCCCTGATGGTCATACCAAGGAAATGCCAACATCTGGTTCCAAGGAGAAGAGTAAACATGATGCAGTTAATGTGGTAAGATTAGCTTTTGAATAAAATTGAGCATCTGTTAACAGTAAGGCTTATTTCTAAACTTGGCTATAATTTTATGAGGGGAAAATTGCCCCTTTTTTGTGTCCTTCCATTTTGATCGCATTCAGAACAACATTATTTATTCATTTAAACCTGCCTTAAAAGTTTTTTTGCGATTGAACAACCTTTGTCAAGTCAGTGTTGCAGGGAGAGGAATGGAACTGATTCCATAAATGAAGGATGAAGATCTCAAGTTGTGTGCATATCTGTTAGGACTTGCTTTTAAGTCTTCACAAAGCCCAAAGTTTTTTTTAGTCATGATTGGTAATATCGTTATATGGAAGGATATAGCACAAAAACTTTAAATTTCAATTGTGGGTTCATTAGAGTGTTGTGTTTCATTTTCTTCCTTTAGACTGTCTTCTGTATGCACGGTGCATAATAGACTGAAGATATGTTTCTGCTAGTTTAGACAACTGGATTGCAGACAGTAAAAAGACATTGTGACTTTTTCATAATTAACATGTTAACCATGGTGTAGAATTGAATTAAAACAAATTAGCACATACAAAGGTTCTAAGTTTCATGTTCCTTGTTAACATGTGATTGCATACAATGTATAGTTTAACAAAGATAACTAAAGTAACTTAAAACATTGTAGATTAATTAACTTTATCAAAATTTTCTTTAGATGAAAGCTGACTCTGCATCATCTCCTACTGTATCATCTCATGCGGACTCCACTGTCTCAACATGTGAGGCTGTTGACCTTACTGCACTTTACAACAAAGTAGCTCAACAAGGTGAAGTTGTACGTGAATTAAAGGCAAAGAAAGCATCCAAGGAAGAGGTGGATGCAGCGGTAAAAGGACTTTTGAGCTTGAAGGCAGAATACAAGCAGCAGAGTGGTACTGAATACAAACCTGGAAAGCCACCTGCAGCTACTGCTAGTCCTGTGTCTGCACCAAAAACCTCGGATTCAACGATTAGGATTCTGTATGACAAGGTGCATCAACAAGGAGAGGTGGTTCGAAAGCTCAAAGCTGACAAAGCCCCAAAGGTATTTTCTTCTGTCATTTTCAAAGACTTTAAAAATAATACCATTTATGTATTTTCCTTCAGCTAGTTATAACCTATGAATAAATGTTTTGTGTCAAGTTATTTTTTCACTGACACAAAATGAGGGCACCTAACTATTGTGATTTGGGCAAAACTACTGAATTAGAACTCAGTGTGCCAGTTGAAGGACTATTTGAAAACAGTCCTCCACTTGACCTTGGGTTTACGTCTCTGAAATATTGTGGAATTGTATTTAAGACGACTTAAGACAATGTAATTCCATTTATTCTATCATAGAATGTAGCTATTGCTGGCAACATCAGCATTTGTCCATTGCTAAGGGAATTCCTGGTGAAATTGAAAATGGGGGTCAAAAATATGTTGTCTTTCAGCCTGGGTTTTCTCTGTTCTGAGCCTGCTTTGTGGAAAGGGTTTTGGAAAGGTGGAGAAGGTATCAGTGACACTTGTTTACTTCAAGAATCTTGTATTTCATTCTAGTTACAAAGAGATAGATTCATAGAGTTTCAGAAACAGTATATCTTAATCTTGCTTACCATTTACTTGTCTTGCTTTCTTTTGTAGGATAAGGTGGATGAGGCAGTAAAATCACTCCTAGCCTTAAAAGTGGAGTATAAACAGAATACTGGTGAAGAGTACAAACCAGGGAAGCCACCTGGTATACCAGTTGTGTCAGAAAATCCAAACATTATCTCCACTGCAGAAGCAACAGGACTTGATGAGAAAACACTACACAGCAAAGTTGCAGAGCAAGGAGATGTTGTACGCAAACTTAAAGCAGAGAAAGTTGCTAAGGTAATAGCTCTGAATTTTTTGAAGTGGTGTACCAACAAGTTGCTTACCCTTTTCAGATAAAGGACAAAAAAAAATAGCCACACTATTTCACATTAGATTTTCAAGCAAATGTGTACCCATCCTTTCTCAAATGGGAGTGAACATTGCTTGATGTAGAAAGTTACGAAGGTGGTAGAGTTTATAAGAAAAACAAAAACATTTGTACAATTACACTGAAATTTGGATACAAAATCCCATTAGAATCCTGAATCTTTACCATGTTGCTGAGAAATATTTCTTAATCCAAGTGCTTGGTAATCTGGTTCCTCATGAACTGTTTTCAGCACTCATGTTCTGATAAGACAAATGACCAATCTCTGTCAGAACAATTGAAATACACATTTTGGATAAGTCAGGGAGACCTGTACTTTGTGTCCAACCGGTGATCCTGCATTGATAAATCCGTTATTCCCGGTCTAAACAAATGTAAGATTAGATGTTCCAGTTTTGGATGCCTATGAAATAATTGCGCGTTACATTTTCATGCAGTAGGAAATTGGTTAACTTCCTTATTAAACTTACCAATTTTTTTTTATTTTCAGACTTCTAACCTCATTCTCTTATTAACTTTTCAAGGCAGTGATAGATGCTGCTGTGGCTGTACTTCTAGATCTGAAGAGCCAATATAAGACTTTAACAGGATTGGAGTATAAACCGGCTGCAAGTACGGATGGTGAGAACAAAAACAAAAAAGAGAAACAAAACAAATCAGAGAAACAGAATAAGTCCGACAAATCAGAGGGACATAAAGATACAGCAAAAGAACAGGAGAAGGGATCAAGTAACGGAGGTGCAGGTGAAGGCCCAGGACCGAAGAAACAAACCAGGTGAGTAAGCACAAAGACAAATTCAACTATGTTGTGCCTCCAACAGTTCGAAATATAGAAAATAGGAGCAGGAATAGTCCATTTGGCTTTTCAGGCCTTCTCCATTTTGCTAGTGAAGGGTTTGAACACTGTAGTCAGAATTCTCTTAATTTGTGATATTATGGTCAGACCCCAGGTGAGGTTCTTGAATTTATGATGGTACCTCAAACAGTTAAGCTCTCAAGTGAAGAGGGATGAACTGGTTCCTCTTCTTTATTTACCACTGTGCCCGTTCATTCCAATAAGGTTAACTTAAAATGGATCCCTATACTTGTAGAAACCTTTCTCCCAGACCAAATTAAGTTTTGCATTTAAAAAGGAGTCAGTTTAGCCACGCTTTCTAGAATTAATAGAATGAGTTTATTAGTCAGCTAAATGTGCGAAGAAGTACTAACACAGCACACACACACACAGATTAAGAGTGAATTCAAAAGGTAAAGGTTTTTTAAAAAAAAAAACTACAGATATACAGATCAGTCTCTGAATTGTTCGTGATGAGTGGATAGTTGACCATTGCGGCTGTTGCAGTGGAGGTTACTGCAGTGCTGACTTTGTTAGTCAAACAGTCAGTTTTACAATTCTTAGTTTTGCAGATTGGTTAAGATTCTGTGGTTCTGATTCCTTTTAATTGTGATTAAATGTCAGCATTCAAGGTGAGAGAAAGTGTCCTTCTGTCTAGTTTCCTTTTGTCTGTCTGGCTGCCAGCTAGGATAGCACTCCAAGTCGAATGGCATCTTTACCTGCATCACAGAAGTGATTAGAGGATTGCTTTTGGACTGTGATCTCAGTAGTACACTAATACTTGAACAGCTGGTGATCTAAGAGCTTTTATGTCCCTATCTCTGAACCAGAAGTTCCAGTCCTACCTGCACTAGAAGTGTGTAATAACATCTCTGAGCATGTTAATTAAAAAATATCTAGGTGGTCTAGAAATTACTCCAAGTAATGTAACTGCCCCTTAACGTTCCAGTAGCTGAATGGATTATGTCCTTGAATGCTTTGAAGCTTCCTCTTTACTTTGTGTTGCTTTACTTTACCAAAACTACCATACCTCCTGTGTTCTTTCCCTTTCTATCTTTTCTGAACACCTTGTAACCAGGAATTTTTAAACACACTCTGCTGTGCATTTCCTTAATCAGGTCTCATTATTATCACAATATCACAATTCTACGTGGTAACTGCCCAATCTTATTAACTGTAATCCATAAATTCCCATATTAATTATTACACTGACTTAGACTTCATTATTTTGTCCCTTCAACTCCACCTTTTAACTTACTGTTTTCTTCTTTAGTGTTATCTGCTTCTCTCAGCATTTCATGAATTCTGGTATTACTTGCTAATATTCTGTCTTGGTTCTCACGCCCCTGTTTAGAATCATAGAATCCCTACAGATTGGAAGCAGGCCATTGACCCTCTGAAGAACATCCCACCCAAACCCATCCTCCCCTACCCTATCCCTGTGACCCTGCATTTCCCCATGGTGCATCCATCTAACCTACTCATTCCTGGACACTATAGCCAATTTAACATGGCAAATCCACCTAACCTGCACATCTTTTGACTGTGGGAGGAAACCCACGCAGACACGGAGAATGTGCAAACTCCATACAGTCACCCGAGGGTGGAATTGAACCCAGGGAAGTAGAAAAGAGCCTGGAAGGAACTGAGTCTCAGCTTTGTTCAGATATAGTCCATGAGACTTGTACAGGTGCCATTTTCCCCAGAGCCAGTCCCATTGTCTGATCAATCTGAAGCCATGCATTCATTTGCTTTGTCTTCTACTTCTGTACTCACACGTAGCATTGGGAATAATACAGAAATTACTGCTTTAACAGTCCTGCTTGCTAATTTTCTATGTAATCCCATAAACTGTGATTATAACATCATACCTCTTCCTACATATGATATTAGCACCAATGTCGAATAAGACCTCCTAGCTGCTGCCCCCCCCCCCCCACCCCCACCCACAAGAGTGTCCTGCAATTTTTCTGTGACATCTTTGATTCTAGTACCAGGGAGGCAACGATTCATCCTGGAGTGTCACAGTGATTGATGCAGAAATGCCTGGCTATTCCTCTAATAAAATAAATCAAATATGTTTATTATTTTTAGTTCCGCTGCTCTTCTGAGACTAGAAATGCAAAATATAAAGTGTAAAGTTGGTTCAATTGTTAAGTATATGTTTTTATGTAATAATACTAAATGATATGGTTTTCTTTGTAGATTGGGCATTGAAGCAAAAAAAGAAGAAAATCTAGCAGAATGGTATTCACAAGTAAGTGCTTTTTAAAATATCCCACCTTAAGTAAATTGTATTTGAATTATTTCAGTAAGACATTTATTTCCATTTAGTTATTAATGGGCATTTTTAAGTGCTTTTCTCCCTTTACTTCTGTATCTTGTCGAGTAGATATCTTAATTTCTTTGCTCTGTTACTGAAGCTAACCTGCAGCCCTCTGAACTGGCAGCGCTTCTCTTTGGTCCAACGTTAATATCATCATCAAATCTGTTAACAGGGATAATGCTGTTGCCTGGTGGCCAAGTGCTGGCAAATGGGACTAGTTTAATTTAGGATATCTGGTCAGCATGGGAGAGTTGGGCTGAAGGGTATGTGTCCATGGTGTACTGACATCTACCTAATAGAGGCAGAGTGTCAGCTCTGTGATACATCCTCATACCAAAACGTGACCCCATCACTAACCTCATCATCTCCTCTATCTTGGCCTTCAACCTTACAGTGCCCCAATCCTGAAAAATCCCTTCAGCCTCCAAGATCCATAAATAAAACTGCTGTGGTAGGCACATTGTTTTCAGTCTGTTTCAGCCTTCTGTCCCCTGCCCCTTCTTGAAGTTATTTCTTTCACATGTCAGATTTGTTTTTCCTCCCCCTTGCCCAGTCTTTCCCCACATATATCTATGACATTTGACTTTAACCATTTCTAACTTCCTGAGCCTAACCATTTTCTTTCCACCACAGTTGTCTGGTCCCTCTGCCTTTGCAACTGCAGCAGAACAGTTTGGCCTGTCCACTTTTCCCTTGAAAGATACCCAATTAGCCTCCATCTGTCACTATGACCCTCCTCCACCTGACAGGATATGTTCTCCTTTGAGTTGGAATGACTATCTTTTTATTTTTCAGTTTTTTTTTTGATTTTTAAAAGTAATGGGAAAATAAATGTTTTAAAAATCGTGTTGTTGAAGGATTGCTGAACTTTTTAAAAAGCAAGTTATTTGACTCTCATCATAATTGCTGTTTCAAGCATGGGGGAAAGCCTAATTGCAGATAAGCTGTCAAAATGGGGATTTGGCTGGCATCAAGTGACTGATTGGTCTGTGAAATGATTTCTAGTTATCCTTGACGAGGACTCCTGCCTGCCATCAAATATGTGGTTGTCTCCGAGCTAGTTGAACATTTTGCAGAGTGAGTGTTTGGGTGAGAAGCCTTCAGACCTCTGGAAGGGAATGAGCTGTTTTTTCTGTGCAGTGAAAAAGCATTTCAAGCCTGATGCTAGCCAGTTTGTTTCCCTTTGTCAGTTGCTGTAAACTTTGACTTTTAATTGATAAATCAGAGATCTTTGTAAGTGTGAACCAGTCACCTGTGTCTTCTGGGAATAAAGGAAATTAACTAGAGAAGGAAGATTGACAAGCAGCATTCAGAACCACAAAAAAGATCATCTCAGCAAACCCTGTGAACAGGAACTACTGAACTGCTTACCATTGCTTCGTGTGTTTTTCGGTATCGGCATGCATGGGGAAGAGAGGGTGTGATACCAGTTACGTAAATGTGACGGTTGTGACCAAGACCACTCATAAATACTATTAGCAAGTTTTAATCAGAAGGAAAGGGAGGTGACCAAATAATCAGTTCCCAGAGTATGGAAACCAACTTCTGTTGATTGTTGGTTGCGTGAGAATTCTGCATAATAAAGTATCAGGTAATGGGAACTTAACTGTTTATAATAAATACAGTAAATATGTTCTTGTTAAGTTTAGAAATATGGTCCATAGTTTGTCAACCTGGATCTAAAAGTCCGGTATTTTGAGGTATTCTTTGTACTTATTCAAGTCTTTAGCTTTGTAACACCTCCAGCAATAGCAGTGTGTGATTTCCAGTATGTTCCCCCATTGAGGCATAACAGAATGACTTTTCGTTCAAGTCCATTCATGTTCTCAAATAAAAGGTTGCTTTGAGCACCTGAATGGGTCTGAGCTGTGCCAGACATATTATGGTTATGCAGAATATTCATCATTCTAGTTATACTCTGGGTCCCTCCCTTCACTACATTTCCAATCCATCGATGACTGTTATCAGTGCTGTTTCCTGAACTGGAAAATTTCATCAAGTTGGCTTCCAGTTTCAGCTCTGGCCTTCGCATGGTTCATCTCTAACTCTTCCCTTCTCTAACTTCACTTTTTTTTGTTTTTGACATTAAGATATCAAAACCCATTGTTTCCTACATCTGCCTAGTCTGAATGCACTTCCTTGCACCCCACTTCAAGTAAGGACATTGTTCGATTTTCGCTCCCCGCCCCCCCAACAATTTCTCCTCCTCCACACCTGATTGAACAATACTACCTTCCATACTAATGATTTTGATGTGTCTTCCTTTCTCCTCAACCAGACAGACTTACACAATACACATCCCTTGCTGTGCTCGATTGTGCCCTTTCCATTTCACACACTTGCATCCCCTTTCCTTCCTTCCCAGAATCTTAATAGGATTACCCTTGTCCTCACATGCTGCCCTGCTAGTCTCCATGTTCGGTGGGTCACCCTTCAGTGAAGTGCCATCACCAAATGCGTCGTCCCTTTCAACACTCTGAAGGTACTGTTCCCTCTATTCTGGTTTACCCTAGAAGACCTGGTTACCTTTCTATGGCATCTTTTCATGTAAGTGCCGGAAATTCTTCATCTCCCTTAAGTTCTCCTCCACATCACTATGGGGCAAATTTTATCCTGATATTGTGCAATTCAGCTGCAACTGGTTGCAGCCTTCCATACCTAGCGTTCACTATGAGGAATACAATAATGTCATCAAGCTTTCCAAGCAGCCATCACGTTAAAGGCTTTTCACAGACACGCTAACAGGAAACAAAAAGCAGTAAAACAAAATCATTTCTAAAAGTTTTTTTACGTTGGGCAAATTGAAACTTGAAACAAAAATATGGGAAGTAGAAGCCGTAATATTCTGAGGAATTTTTTTCAAATCATTTTGCTTGAAAAATCCAGGATGTATCATTTTAATAGCACTGCAAGATTTGATTTTTGTTTTCCAGAGTTGGTTCTGTCTGTCATTAAAAAAAGTTATATCTCACTGAACAGGATGCAACTTTGTAATTTAAAATCATGAAATGGGAGTGAGAATGTTGTAATTCATGGCAAGTTCATGATTGCTGGTTCTTGTGGGGACTGGGAGGGTGGTCCACAGTTCAAACCTGTGGTAGGGCCCTGTATTACAGACTGCAGCTTAATAAATGCCATGCTAATCTGCATATGCCAACCATTTTCTGTATTTTCCTTACAATTTGCACTTTTTTTGCCTCTCTTTTCCACCTGCCCAAGGTTCCTCGTTTTTTTTTTGTTTGTATTCTGGCTTCATGATGTTAACCATGAAGTATAACCTCACAGGAGAGAGAGGTCTCTTTTATAGGCTTAATTTTCAACTTTGTTGCTTGGCAGTAGCCCAGCAGAGCAGATTGTCTGTTGTCAAATGGTACCTGTCTTTAATTTTCATTTCATTGACGTTAATTGAAGACAAGTAGAATGGTTTATAGTGAGTGGAAAGTCTGAATTTCCCAGTTAACATGCAGGTCGTGAAGTTAATTGTTTAGCCCTCGTGGCTTTGCAGATCATTAGTTGCCTTTACTATTGCCTACCACATGTATACATTTTGTTACTAATGTATATACAAATCTGTCATTGAGGAAAGCTTTGAGCTACGATTTGGAAAAAAAAAAACGAGCTCTGCAACAAAAGGAAAAATGATGCAATTGATCAAAGACAGCACTTACACCCAGATCGCTAGCTTCAATTGCCATTTTGAAAGGTCTAGAAAAATCAGGGCAGTCAACACCGATTCATTTATAAGATGGCCTTCAGCTTCTCAAATGCTGCTTGTCATTCTGCTGTCCATGCCACTTTTGCTTGTATCTTTAATAAATTTGTTAAAAGTGCAGCTATCATACTGAAATTACAGACAAACTGTGGGGTACAGAGATACATGTTCCGGTTCATGTATCATGAAAAGTCAGGTTGTTAGTTAATGTAAGTAACCCAAATGATTAGAAGGTCAAATGGAACACTGTTTATTGCTGGGAGAATGGAATATAAAAGGCTGGGTGGATTAGCCATGGGAAAGACAGTGGTACAGAGATAGGGGGATGCATCTGGGTGGGATGTTGTTTGTAGGGTCAATGGGCCAAATGACCTGCTTCCACACTGTAGGGATTCCATGATTCAATGAAATGCAGTTTTTTAAAATTCATGTTAAGCCATGTAATTGTCATTTCATGTTGTGTACCTAGGTCATTACAAAATCCGAATTGATTGAATATTACGATGTCAGTGGCTGCTATGTTCTCCGACCCTGGTCTTATAGTATCTGGGAAGCCATCAAAGACTTCTTTGACCGTGAGATTAAGAAACTTGGTGTGGAGAACTGCTACTTTCCCATGTTTGTGTCTCAGGCAGCCCTTGAGAAGGAGAAATCACATATAGCAGATTTTGCCCCAGAGGTAAGAAAATAAGTATATTCCTATCAGCAATCACTGAACTTCTGTCAGGTTATGCTCCTTTTGAATCTATGTGTATGACTGCACAAGTGTGTTTTAAAAGATTTGGCATATTTCTGATCTTAGAAATCTGAATTAAGTTGATTTAGGAGAGCGAAATGTGTTGATTTTAATTTAGATTAATTAAAGGGAAATGGTATTTGATAAACCTGTTGGAGTTTTGAGGACCAGTAGATGTGATATATTTGGTTTCTCAGAAAGCCTTTGATAAAGTCCCACATTAGGGATTCGTGTGCAATATCAAAGCACATGGGATTGATGGTAATATACTGGCATGGATTAAGGACTGGTTGGGAAAGATTAGGAACAAATGGGTGAGAAAGGCGGTGACAAATGGGCTACCACAAGGGTCAGTGGCTGGACCCCAACTATTCACAATGTATACTAATATGTGGGAATCAAATAATATTTCTAAGTTTGCTAACAACACACAACAATCTGGGGTTGAGGGTGGCAAAGATGAAGATTTAGACAAGTTGAGTAAGTGGGTGAATATATTGCAGATTCAGAATAATGTGGATAAGTGTGGAAGTTGTCAACTTGAGTAGGACAAACAGAATGTACATCAAAATTTGTCAAAGGGACCAGGGTGACCTACACAGGTCGCTGAAAGCAAGAATATATGTGCAGTGAACTGTTTGGAAGTTAAGATTCATCAGAGGGACGACAGGTTTGTTGTACGAGGAGAGATTGAGTTGACTGAGCCTGTATTTGCTGCAGTTCAGAACATATAGGGCTGAACAGACTGGCTGCCAGGATGGTGTGTCTCCTATTTGGGGTTGGGATTCAAAATAAAGGAGTGTCAATTTTGGGATAGGCTGGGCCTACTTCGGACTGAGATGATCAATTTCTCGACTTGAATTTGTGGTGAACTTCTGTTATTCTCTGCTACAGGTTGTGGAAGCCAAGTCACTAATATGATTTAGGAAAAAAAAAAAAAGATTTTTGGGGGCAAAAGGTGTTAAATGGTGTGGGAAGAAAGGGGTACTATGGCATTGAGATAGAGGATCAGCCATGATTATGATGAATGGCACAGCAAGTTTGATAGAGCAGGAGTAGGCTATTCAGCCTGATTTTCTATCTTTCTATGCCCATCTCTCAGACACCTGACTACTTTTATGAGTGATTAAAAATTTGCTTTCATGGATTTAGATCCAAAATATGATCTTTCATTTTGAAAGTTTGTGTAAAATACTGTATTTGAATGGAAGAATTTAATCTAGTCAGCCACGTGACTGAGAAACATTAATAATAGAAACTTTTTGCATATAAACGGTTTTGTTCCACGGAGGCATTAATAATTTTTTTCCAAAATAGGTTGCTTGGGTAACAAGATCAGGGAAGACCGAGTTAGCAGAACCAATTGCTGTTCGACCAACAAGTGAAACAGGTAGAAAGTAGTTTAATTAAGATTTTCTGATCGGTTTATTGATTTGCTAATGAGTGCAGCTTATAGCTATAAAAACTAAGAATATCTGAGGGTCTAGGCCCTAAACGTCAGCCTTCCTGCTCCTATGATGCTGCTTGGCCTGCTGTGTTCATCCAGCTCTACACCTTGTTATCCCCTTTTATACACTTGAGTATCTTCTAGAGAAATGAACCATGGCTTGAACACAATCTTTTGATCAAGCCACAGAACTGGACTGTGAAATAAATTTAGTTCGTTGTATGTTTGCTTGCTCAAGCCATCTACTTGAATGAGCATTTAATTTTCTCTTCAATATGCTACCTTTTTTAAAAAAAATCACCCTAGAATATGTTTCCATAACTGTTTCTATTAAGACAATCCATTATCTTTGCAGGCACCTGCTTCAAAGAAAATCACCCTTTGTTTTGTTGGTGATTTAAATTGCCATTTGGTGAAAATATTTTTTTTCCAAATTCACCTCACTGCGTCCCCTCAATCACGCCTGGTACTTGTCTTTGTGTTAACTTGTATTTCCCCAAGTCAACTAATTTGTCATCCCTGGCACCGCCTTTGCGAAATAAAAACAAAATCGTAGAAACACTCAACTAGTCAGGCAATATCTTTGGAGAGAGGAAGATTTGTTAATGTTTCAGACTGATAATTTTTTGTCTGAACTAGTGAACGTTATAGGTGAAGAACCTTTATATGGAAAAGCTGCCTGTCTTAAAGGGAAAACCTAATTTTGTCTTTGTGTTCTTTTCGTCAGTCATGTACCCAGCTTATGCCAAATGGGTGCAGTCACATCGTGATTTACCAATAAAACTCAATCAGTGGTGTAACATAGTGGTAAGTATTGAAGGCAATATTTATATGTATCGATGTGTTTGTGTTTCATCCATGTATGAGTCAGTTGACCCTTTAATATAAGTGGAAACTTCTTAAATAGAGCAATAAAGGAAGCATTATAAAGAAATGGAAAATTCACAGCTAAAATTGTCTTGGACATTCTTTTTTATCTTTCAGTAGGGAGGTAGGGGGGAGCTGGGGGTGCGAAGGGAGAGAAGGCGAGAGAGAGCCTGTGTCCTCTTTGGCTGGATGTTTCAATGAAACATAGATGACACATGCAGTAGAATGAAGGGAGACAACAAGGTGCAGGGCTGGATGAACACAGCAGGCCAAGCAGCA